TTGGAAGTTACCAGTTCCGGCCTCCACTGATGCTAAGGACATTCAGACAGCGGCAGCAGAAGCAGCCATTGCCTTTGGGCAACCGAATTCCGAGTCTTCGGAGGCGGTGTCTCGAGATGATATAATGGAGGAAGCCGCCGCTATATGGCCGAGAAATGCTTTCTTTACCGATGAGGAAGCTCTTTTTGGAATGCCAGGGTTGATTGACAATATGGCTGATGGGTTGATGCTACTTCCACCTTACTGCATGGATACTGATAACGTGGAAGTATATGCTGACGTGTCTTTATGGAGTTATTCCATTTAAATTTTAAGTTTCTTAGTCCTTACCCATACTTTATTTTTTATTCTATTTGTACGGATAAGTGAAAAGTATATATATAGTCCTTGTTTGGACTCCATTTTTTCAAGAAAATGTATTTTGGAATAATAAAAAATTGGAGAATGTGTTGTTAAAAAATAAGAAAAATTTTGATTTATGTGTAAAATTATTTTATAGAAGAATGTGCATTTAAATTGAGTATTGAAAAAATGAGTTTTTATAAAAATGGAGCCCAAACATGGGCATAGTTAAGAGAGAAAAAGTGAGTTGTTCAAAGCTTTGAAAGAGTTAAAGATTGCCCCCAAAAGCAAAATATTTGCTATTATAACATGAACTTTGAATATATTGTTAGGAAGAGGACAAAGTTTTCTATTAATAATTATAAATAATAGGGCGATAATTATAGAGAAAGAGACGTGTGTAAATAAACTTTGCTCTACACCTTTATTAACTCAACATGAGTCTATATATATGCTTATAAAACAAAGAATGAAACTCAAATGTTAGGTGAAAAAAACTTTGATGAGAAGAATGATTTTCAAAAGTTGATTCAATCAAAAAAAATTCAAAGGAAAAATGATTTGATAAAAATAAATAAGATGTGTAATCAATATAATTTAGCTCAAGAATATCTCACTTTAATGCTCCCAAAAAGTGTTTTATTGAATGTAAAGTGGAATTGCATTTATAGGAGTCAAAACGCCAAATTTTTTTACTAATTGGACGACCCATTTGGATGTCCGCATACTGAACCGATCAACCAAACTAGTCATTGTGCGTTAGAATTCAGAATGGTTAAAAAATTGACCGTTGGGCGAACCAGACTCCTGTTGGGCAGAAATTTTCAAGATTTTTCTTTCTTGATTGTTCTGAAAAATGTAAGCTTTTGAAGAACATTTTCATTTTATTTCTCAAGGTAAGTGACATTGTTGAAAGTTTGAATGAAGTTTAAATTCTTACATTTTGAAAAATAATCTTTATGCAAACATTTTTATGTAATAATTTTTCTTATACATAAAAATTCATTCTTTGAGCTTTTAACGATTCATTGCTAAGGATTAAACCATTCCACCTTGCGTATGAATCCAAAACATCTAAGTCTAATATCTTCGATATTTTACTATTGAAGTTCTTTTCAAGTCTTGACGTGAGTGCTCGGCTTGCATCTCAATTTTTATTGATTGTCCATTGTGAGTCTTTTGGTAGCGATCTTTTTCGTCTCTAATTGATCAACTTTGCAATAATAGCTATGAAAACTCGAATTCAATAATTAGAGATAAAAAAACACTTTGTTTGTTTTAATAAAAAACATGAAGTCAACTATAGGTCAACACAAATCATGATTATTTTATTTTATTTAATAATAGATATTACCTATGCTTAAACATACATGAGATTATTTTATTTTATTTGATAATAAATTTAATGCATTATTATCATCAAAGCAGTTTTCAATACTATATTATCTTCTAGCACGTTCACATCAAACATGAATAAAAGTTCATTGCTGACTTACCAAATTGATGACATGTCAATCATTAATTGGGTGAAAAGAAAAAATTAGACTGCAGTTCTCAACTTCCTAAATTAATGTTGTAGCACCAGTAGTGCTAAATAATATTATTATAGGTACAGTCTTAGACGGTTGAAAAGTTATAACATTATATAAACCCGCCAATAAAGTTTAAAATTTATTTTCGCTTGTTTAATTGTGCTTAAAATACCTCGAGTCATTTTTTTTTTGTTTAATATAGAGTAACAAAATAACTTAATATTTACTTTTAATAAACACAATCAAGATATTTTCTATGTTTGTAATGTACAATTCAACATACTTTAAAAGTAAATAGAGGGATTTTATTTCATTGGTCACTAAATTTTAGCTTGTGTTACTAGAATATTATTAAACTTCAATTTATTTTCACATGGTCATTGAAATATTAAAAGTGACACATAAATTCCATTTAATAGGTTAACTGATAACTATGTATCCAAGTGGACCGTAGTCAAATAATTATTTAGGGCCACAAAAGAAACTTTTTGATTTGATTGGACTATCAATACAAATATCTCCAAAGACAGACGCCTCACAAATTTTATTTATTTTTTAATTCATATGGGTCCCGCATGGGTCCCTCTACATATCAAATTTCTTCCGGTAAAATGGTATAATCCTTAAATTTTATGTTCCTTAGTCCTTAGCCATACATTATTTTTTATTCTATAAGTACGGATAAGTGAAAAGAATATATTATCCCCAATATCTTAAAAGAGTCAATCCACGATTTACTATTCTTTCATGAAGCATTTCTTAATTCTCAAAATCAAGGTTCAATTGTGTTTTTCGCAACCCACTTCACACTTATCGCGTTGTGTTACAGTTCATTAACAAGTTTCATTGCTTTACTAAGTATCCCCATGCTTTTTGCTCTCTCTCACATCATTCATACATGCTTTGCTTTTCGATCTCCATTTCCATTGGAGTTCGACATAGAATTTGTGGATGAGGATGAGGACGAAGACGGCAAAGAAGGAGGCCCCAATTTCTACAAATAAACGCATGTCTTTGTTAACTGATTTCCCAATTCAAAACTTGTTGGTTGTGGCCGCCTCCACTGTACAGTCACCGAGCTCGGGAAAGGAGTTATGATTGTCTATGTTAAGGTTGAGTTTTAGCTGAAGTGGTCGTAACATGTATTGATATAAACAGTACTATATATTGAAAATGCCTATGCGAAAAGCCTCTTTGGGGCATTACATCAAACAGTTGGTACACCGGTTCACAAATTTCAGATGTGAGCATGTATGGGTGAACACGTTATGAAACATATACATAAAAATATAACATAAACATACGTACAAATACAGAAAGATAATTGAGGGAAGAGAGAGCAAGCTCTCCACGCTGTGCGGAGAGATAATCACAAATTTCAGATGTGAGCATGTGTGGGTGAACACGTTATGAAACATATACATAAAAATATAACGTAAACATACATACAAATACAAAAAGATAAATGAGGGAACGGAGAGCAACCCTTTCGCGCTGTGCGGAGAGGGGGATCTCTCCGCTTAGCGCGAACATTGGCCTCTACGTTGTGCTGACGCACACACGGGACTCTCCGTGCAGGGCGAAGAGAGTGTTTGTAAAAAAAAAAAAATAATGCAATCCACGCAGCATGGACACTTCTCTGGAATACTTTCTTGTTAGCTGCTTCCCGGAAGCAGAGGACGAAGTTGTCGATCTCCTCCTCCATGATTGTGACGTCAACGATTGTCCTAGTTAAATTAGACATAATTATATAAATTGAAACCATTTTGAAATGTAGTTAGTATATTATTGAATAAAATTTTATTGTGTCGACACATGTGTTGATATTCAGGGCAATCATAGCGTCACTTTCATAAAAGGTTGTACTGTTTTTGACTTTTTGTTGTAAACCAGGTTGTATCTATCTAAGCCACACACCACACTAAGGCCCCGTTCGGGAGGGATTAAAAGCCAATTAAAATTGAAAATATGGCCCTCGTCTAATAAAAGTAAAAAATAACGGCTATATTTTCAATTTTAATCCGATTTTAATCCCTCCCATACAAGGCCTAAATCAGAAGCTTCCTCCAACCAATGGAGTGACTTCGTCTCGCTAATTATTATTATTATTATTATTATTATTATTATTATTATTATTATTTGTTATGAAGATTGTGTAATTAAGACTTGCAGTTTTAATTATTGACAAATAATTAGTGAATATAATTATTATCTATCTAATCCAATGACGTCCATGATGAATATTTGTTCTAAAAAAATAAAATAATTATAATACTGTAGTTCAAGAAAGTGATATGAAGACAAGAAGAAATAAAATCCTCGACTCTTTGACGACATGATTCACGTTTTCGACCTGCGTCAACTATCTCTTAGACTAATACTAATCGTCATTAATTATATATAGCAAATTGATGATTATATAATTACACATAAATTGATGATTATTACTTTATTTAGCATTTATAATAAAATGTCATCTGAAAATTATTACAAAATCAATTTAAAAGCTCGATGATAGTAATCAGCAACCTATTTAGACTGTCATTCGAAAAGTTAAAAGTGATTTTTAGATTAAGAACCAATTATTGAGTACATTTGTATAAAACGTTGTCGCTAAAATGATTATTGTTTTTAAGTATAAATAAAATTACTCTTTTTTAAAGAGACTATTCTTTTTATAAAGAATATTTCACAAATAAGCGTGTCTGATCAAAAGAGCTTTTAAAAGAAATTATTCTAATGCTCTAAGAAGCCTTCCAACAAAAATAAGAGAAGCATTTTTATGCTTTATTGATTTTTTTTTTTTTAAATTTCAACATTGACCTTCACATTATGTTTAATTATAAATACCAACCTTACATTTTAAAATTCTAACCCTATGGTGTAATTTATAATTCAAAATTTTGCACTTAAATTTATATTAATGTACTTTATTATCTATGTTTTATTTTTAACATGTTTTTATTTTGACAAGTAATTTCGTTTAAAACTCTGAAAAACAAATTGGTAGTAAAAAAAATAACTAACCAAGAGGGAGGTGAATTGATTATTAAAATTTTATTGAAAAATTAATTGAAGTTTAAGCAAATTAAAAAAAATGAATAAGTCGATCAAACAAAAATGCACAAATACGAAAGTAGTAAGTAAAAGGGAAGAAAGTGTGCAAATGATGTAATTGTGGAGGTTCGATCTAAACAATGATCTACGTTCTCTGTTATCAAGATTTCCATTACGAGTAAGACATTTTCGCTATATTTGATTGAGTTATGGTGCAATCCAAACATTCACAATGCTTCCGATGACTTACAAATAAAGACGATCGATCCTTATACAATATTGAGCTTTAAAAGACCTCAATATGACTCACAAATTTAAAGGAAATTGATTTTCCAATTTGAAAACTCTCTCTTAATAAATGATATTATCTAGTGAAGTACAAAGAGATAAATAGGCTAACACTTCAATGAATAGTAAAGAATGAAATTCAAATGTTATGTGAGAAAAACTTTGATGAGAAGAATGATTTTCAAAAATTGATTCAATTAAAAGTTTTTCAAAGTTAAAATGATTTGATAAAGATAAATAAGATTTGTAATCAATATAATTTAACTCAAGAGTATCTCACTTTAATACACCCAAAAAGTGTTTTATTGAATGCAAAGTGAAATTGTATTTATAGCAGTCAAAACGTAGAAAATTCTGACTAATCGGATGACCCGTCCGGACATTCGCATACTGAACCGAACAACAAAACTAGGCGTTGTGCGTTAGAATTCCGAACGATTAAAAAATTGAATGTTGGGCGAACTAGACTCCTCTTGGGTAGAAATTTAGTATTGACATTCTTGTCTTGACATGAATGCTTGGCTTGCATTTCGATTTTTATTGATTGTTAATTGCGAGTCTTTTGGTAGCGATATTTTTGTCTCCAATTAATCAACTTTGCAACAATAGTTATAAAGACTCAAATTCAATAGTTAGAGATAAAAAATAATTTGTTTGTTTTAATCAAAGCATGAGATCAACTATATGTCAACACGAATTATGACTATTTTATTTTATTTAATAATAGATATTACTTGTGCTTAAACATACATGAGATTATTTTATTTAATTTGATAATAAATTTAATGCATTATTATCGTCAAAGCAGTTTTCAATACTATATTATCTTGTACCATGTTCACATCAACCATAGATAAAAGTTCATCGCTATCCCATTAAATTGACGACATGTTAATTTAAAATGACATATCAATCATAATTTGGTGAAAAGAAAAAATTGAACAGCAATTTTCAACTTCCTAAATTAGTTTTGTAGCATCAGTAGTGCTAAATAATATTATTATAAGTACAGTCTTAGACAGCTGAAAAGTNTTAGATTAAGAACCAATTATTGAGTTCATTTGTATAAAAAGTTGTCGTTAAGTATAAATAAAATTACTCTTTACTAAAGAGTCTATTCTTCTTATAAAGAATATTTGATCAAAAGAGCTTTTAAAATAAATTATTCTAATGCTCTAAGAAGCCTTTCAACAAAAATAAGAGAAGCATTGTTATGCTTTACTGATTTTTTTAAAATTTCAACATTGACCTTCACATTATGGTTAATTATAAATACCAACCTTAAATTTTAAAATACTAACCCTACGGTGTAATTTATAATTCAAATTTTTGCACTTAAATTTATATTAATGTACTTTATTATCTATGTTTTATTTTTAACATGTTTTTATTTTGATAAGTAATTTCGTTTAAAACTCTAAAAAACAAATTGGTAGTCAAAAAATAACTAACCAAGAGAGAGGTGAATTGGTTATTAAAACTTTTTCGAAAAATTAACTCAAATTTAAGAAAATTAAAAAAATGAATAAGTTGATTAAACAAAAATGTACAAATACGAAAGTAATAAGTAAAAGGGAAGAAAGTTCGCAAACGATGTAATTGTGGAGGTTCGATCCAAACAAAGATCTAAGTTCGTTGCCTTTTCACTATATTTGATTGAGTTATGACGCAATCAAAACATTTACAAAATTTTCGGTGACTTACAAATAAAGAACACAGATCCTTATACAATATTAAGTTTTAAAAAACCTCAATATGACCCACGAATTTAAAGTTAGTTGATTTTACAATTTGAAATTTCTTTCTTTATAAATGATATGATTTAATTAAGTACAAATAGAGAAATGTGCAAACACTTCAATGAATAGTAATGAAAGAAGCTCAAATGTTAAATTAGAAATTTTTGATGAAAATAATGATTTTCAGAAGTTAGAATATTTCACTTTAATGCTCCCAAAAAATGTTTTATTGAATACAAAGTGAACTTGCATTTATAGCACTCAAAACATCAAAAATTCTGACTAACCGAACGACCCATCCAGAAGTCCGCATATTGAACCGAACAACCAAACTAGCCGTTGTGACTTAGAATTCAAAATGGTTAAAAAAATTGACCATTGGACGAACCAGATTCCTCTTGGGCAGAAATTTCCAGGATTTTTCTTTTTTGATTGTTTTTAAAATTGTAAGGGGTTGTTATCTTCATGTTTCAATTTTTATTTTTTAGTTTTAAATTCATTTTGGGTTTTGTATTTTGATTGTCCATTCTGAAATTGTTGAAAACGCGCTCTTTTTGTCATTTTGAAAAATTATTTTTTTAAAAAAAGAAGGAAAAACACGTTTACTTTCTAATTTTGAAAAAAAAAAAAAAACTGAAAAACTGATTATACTTTTACTTATATAAAAAAGCAAGAGTGGCCACCATTGAAATTTCATGCTGGTAACCCGGGTTCGAATCTCAGCTATCTACCAATTTATTTGAAATTTTTTGTATTGTGCATATAAAAAGAAAATTCATTTGTATTGAATTGCGGTGAAACAAAATCGAATTCGTGACCTTCAGAAAATTTGCAACTCTTCCAACTAAGCTATCTCGCTATTGGCAAAATCCAGCCATTTTCATCGTTTTGAAATTTTGGCTTGGTTTTAACTGAAAACGGTCAAACGAATTTTTGGCGTTTTCCGTTCTCTTGTAAATTTTAAACTTGTTTTTGGAAATTTGATTATGAAAATAGGTAAATAAACGTGTTTTCAGCGTTTTCGAAAACTGAAAATTGAAAATAGTCTGAAAACAGCAAAGAAAACATGCCATAAGCTTTTGAAAGACATTTTCATTTAATTTTTCCAGGTAAGTGACATTGTATAAGATTTGAATATGAAGTTGAAATTCTTACATTTTGAAAAATAATTTTTATGCAAGCATTTTTAGGAAATAATTTTTGTTGTGCATAAAAATTCATTCTTTGAGCTTCTAACGATTCACTGCTAAGTATTAAAAAATTATATTTTAAATATTAATCCAAAACATCTAACTCCAATATCTTCGATGTTTTACTATTGAAATTCTTGTCTTGACGTGAATGCTCGGCTTGCATCTCGATTTTTTTGATTGCTAATTGCGAGTCTTTTGGTAGAGATCTTTTTGTCTCTAATTGATCAACTTTGCAACAATAACTATGAAGACTATAATTCAATAGTTAGAGATAAAAAACAATTTGTTTGTTTTAATCGAAACATGAAGTCAACTATAGGTCAAAAGGAATTATAATTTTATTTAATAATAGATATTACCTATGCTTAAACAAACATGAGATTATTTTATTTAATTTGATAATAAATTTAATGCATTATTATCACACTACACCAAAAAAGGGCATTTGCAATATATAAAAGGCAACATTCGGTTGTTAAATGTTGCTAAATGGGTCTACCGCAACATTTGAATAAGCGAATGTTGCCGTTGGTTGACATAATTGAGCTTTGGCAACATTTTTTAAATGGATGTTACAAATGTCGCCTTTCGCCTTTTGCAGCGTTTAATAAACGTTGCAAAAAGTTATTTTTGCAATGGTTATTAAACGTTGAAAAAAGTTTGTTTTTCGCAACGTTCAATAAACGTTACAAAAGAGTTTCCATTTTTCCAAATGTTAAGTATCACTCAAATTGGGAGACCCAAGAAAAAATACGAAAACCTAGATAGACCTCGAGCCCGTCTCTCTTGTCTTCTCTTCTTACTCCCGCCATCTCCGTCAGTTTCTCTCAACGGCGATCTTCTTTTTCCGGTTGCTGGTCATTGGACGCCCACACTCGAGTGCTACAGTCAGTATATTTCCTTATTTTCTATTGCTATTTCTTCCCGTTTTCTTCACTATGTGTTTGATAATAACCCTTAGAGTGTTTATTGTATTCTTTGCTGTGAGAACACGTTGGTGCATTTGATTTCTGGTGGTTTAATGGGTTTTCATTATTCGCTTGTTTTGCAATAGTAATGGACGGCAGGGGCAAGACACTCGGATTTGGGTCAGCGAAGAAGTCTGAATCAAGGAGCAGCAAGGTGGGGCTGGCTCCAGTTTCCTTTTATATGGGTGTAATCTAAAAATTTTCATCTTAATTTAGCATCTTCAATGCTCATCCATACTTGTTTAGTTTTGCAATTATATAAATTTGATTTTTAGTTTCTAGACATTCTGATGTTATCCGATTATGTGGCTGGAGGTAAAGTTTCAGCTATGGAAGAAGCATTTAATCGAAATTTACTCGGATCTTTTCTTCTGGTGAGACAAAGTTTCCTTAATCTCATTGACCGTTGATATCTTGTTCTGGTTCACTCAAGAGTCTTAGTCTATCTGCAGGCCAACATCCTCATAGGACTAGTGAATTTGTCTATTAATACATTGCTTGTTCCACCAATCTGTGCTCTAGCAATCTTGTTTGCCTATGGATTCATTTTATCTTTTGCTGTTGGATTTGCAGATTTTCTTGGCATTAAGTTGAAGTTTTGGTAGCCTAGCATTGGCTTATCTTTTATTTAGGCAGTGTAAAGCAGATCTTTTTTAAACCCTTCAGGAGAGATTTGTGATCGATATGGTCACAATGTATAAAGCACGTGTTCGATATGCAATAAAGAAAATTTTCAGGGTGGAAAATTAATTGGAATGTTTTAGAAACCTTTATGGGGTTTATGTTAATTTCAGAGATACCTTCTCTTGTTTTAAAAATTTCAGAAATCTCCTATATATACTTGTCTACTTTACTACTTTAGATTCTTGGAGTTGCTCATGAACATCATCTGTATCATCAGAAATAGGCAATGATGGTGCTATTGAAGATTCTTTCATACTAGGTGGCACTAAACTAGTCTGATCCTTATTCAGGTTTCCACTTTTGGAAAGGCTTTTAACCCTGTTGTTTAATAATCATTTATCATTTTATTTATAATGTTTCTGGTTTAATTACGATGGTTGGGTTGGTATTCTGAACGGCAGACAAAGAGGAGAAAACTCTATATGGGATATAGTGTGGCGATGAAGTTGTTCTTCGCTTTGCTAGCTAGGATTTGTGAGTTCCAAAACTTTTGCAAGTTGGATTTTTCACAATGACTTCAAAAGCATATTACAAAACCTGTGCAACACTTCTTTTGCCAAAAAAAGAAACCTAATGAAATGACAGATGCATGTATGGCCACTTTTAAAAAAGGGAAATACATGGAAATGACCCAAATTCAAGGTCATATTTCCAAAATAACCCATTTCACTATCCAACCATATAAACTATCTAAAATACTCTTAGAGCTTGTATGAGAGAGATTAAAATCAGATTAAAATTGAAAATATACCTGTTATTGTTGACTTTTATTAGACGAGTGGAACCCAATAACGGCTATATTTTCAATTTTAATTTGATTAAAAGCTCTCTCAAACAA